ACAAGCGTTCTTTCACGTTGTGAGTCGGACGATGGCTCCTAAGTTTCGGTCCATGCTAGAACCTCCTTGAAGTTGAGGTTCTCGTCAATGAGGTGGATTCGCAAGTCACGAGCATGTGGTATGACTGGTTATGGAAGCTCGTGCACTTGATGCAGATGAAGTCTCCATCCTCGAGACCTCTTCTTCTCTTCTCTCGTCTCATTGCCCCAAACCATATATGACAACATCGATTGACCACCATCGCGTCCACCAAGAGGGACCGATGTCGATGTGGCCTTGGTCTGGCAAAGAGACACTGCAAATGGGTCCTTGCTAAGCAGTTTCTCGAAGTTTGGTGGGGATATTACTTGTATTATAGGGCCGGTGCAAGCCTCTTCCGCCTCAACTTCATCCTCAGCCTGGACACCACTCGCTTCTTCAACCCCCCTTCCTTCTTCATAATGTGGTCTCTCTCCTCGAAAAAGATCAAGAACTACCTCTTCTTTGCTTTCTTCCTCATCCTCCACAACTTCTTTCCTCACCCTTTCTCTCTCTTCTTCTTCCATAACTGATTGGAGAGCAAGTCGCCATGCAAGGTTCTCGATAATTTCAGCTTGCATCTCCTCGCTCGGGCCCAGCATGTCAGAGCGGAAATGGGGAAAGTTGTGATCTACCACTTGAGGATACACTTGATCATGATTATCATGGGAGATTTCCTTGACAACTTCTGTATGCTCCTCAACATCCTCACAATTGCCTTCTTCTTCCTCCACCTCTACTTGTATGGCAGCATAAAGGTTGTCTTGAGAAAACTGTGAACAGGCTTTCTCAATGACCTCTATGTGATTCTTTATGCTCCGAAGGGTATCCTCTGTTTCACGGGGAAAGGAGAAGTCAATTTGGGCAATGGCCTGGATATGAGGATCCATCTCGGGAAAAGATCTCTCAGGTACTCGAGCAATCTACTCCACGAGAAGTCTCAAGTGATAGTTTGGATCTGGCTGTGGATTGTAGCATGGCTCTGCCGAATTGCCCGTGAAGGCTGTGGCGAAGTCAAGATTTGATGGCCCTTCTTGTTGTGGGAGGAATTCTACTTGATAAGGAGATTGTTCTTGAAATACCCAGGGGTCTGATTGTTCTTCGTAGTAGGGGGGTTGGTACTGAAACCCGACTCCATAGTCTACTCCTCCTTGGTTACTCCAGGGAGTCTCGGGGTAATACCACCCGGATGGTGGTGGATACCCCCAATGATTGGAGAAGCCATGAGGGTCCATGATTCAGATCTGCACCAACAAAAACAAAAAACACTCAAGTGAAAAGCAAGAACGGAAAACAAAAGAAAAACGCTAAAGTAACAAACTTCTGCCTTTCCTAATAATCTAGAAAGTCCCCGGCAACGGCGCCAAAAACTTGACACGCTAAAACACAACACCTAACAATGGCCAAGTGTAACCAATGAAAGGGGGAACCCACCACCATAATGACTGATGCATAGAAGAAAGGGGGGGAACCCATGATTCAGATCATTAATCATATAATGACTGATGCATAGAAGAAAGGGGGAACCCAGGGCGGGAAGCGGAGATGAGCGCCTTTGCCGACTGTTTGGCGACTGTGGGCCTTCAAGATATAGGTTTTAGAGGCTACCCCTTCACCTGGGAGAACCGTAGAAGAGTGGGAGGGTTCATCGAAGAATGACTTGACTGTTTTGTCGCTAATGAGGGCTGGAGATTATCGAAACCAAAGGCGCGAGTCTCTCATCTTGATCTATTGAAGTCAGACCATCGCCCTATCATTTGTGATACGTTGGGGGAGGAGGATGAGCAGATTAAATGGGGATGGAAGTTTCGTTTTGAGCATATGTGGGTTAAGCATGAGCAGTGTGCGGAGCAAGTGGAGGAGGCTTGGGTTTCGGCTGTTGGGAATGCCATAGAAAAGATGGGTGTGGTACAAAACAAATTGGATAGCTGGAGTCGCAACACCTTTCCAAATTTTCGAAGGCGAAAAGAGAAAATTAGAAAGGCGTTGAAGGCTTTAGAGTGGCGAGACAAGACCGAGCAAGTGCTCCACCAACGACAAACTTTACAGTTAGAACTCGAGGAGCTTGAATGTGATGAGGAAATTTTTTGGTAGCAACGTTCTCGAAGAGACTGGTGTCGAGAGGGTGATAAAAATACCAATTTTTTGGTGTCGAGACGTCGGCGCAATACAGTTCGGAAAGTTCAGGATGAGACGGGCGCGTGGTGGCGAGGAACTGAGGAAGCACTAGTGTGTTTTACTAATTATTACTCACTCTTTTTTCCGCAGGGGAAAGGCCGGGATTAACTCCAGTGTTGGATTCGGTGGAGGCCTGAGTTAATGAAGGGATGAATGAAGGTCTCTTGAAGCCATTCACTAGGGAGGAGCTATATGTTGCTCTTCGACAAATGGGGACAAGGAAAGCTCCGGGAGCGGATTGGATGTCGGTACTTTTTTTCCAAAAGTATTGGCACATTATTGGAGATGATGTGACACAGATGCTGCTAGGTGTGGTGGAGAATGAAGTCATGCCGCAAGACCTGAACTATACACTGTTGGCCCTAATCCCTAAGGTGAAAGAACCAAAGTCGGCAAAGGAGTACAGACCAATCAGCCTCTGTAATGTGATGTATAAGATGCTCTCGAATGCTTTGGCGAACAGATTGAAGTCGCTCCTGGATAAGATTATATCCCCGGAATAAAGTGCTTTTGTTCCAGGTCGCTTTATCGCTGATAATGTGATGACAGCCTTCGAGTGTTTTCACACGATGAAGAAGAAGTCGAAGAATAAGATTGGATATATGGCGGCAAAAACATATATGGCAAAAGCGTATGACAGAGTGGAGTGGTGGTTTCTGGAAGGTGTGATGGAACGTTTGGGGTTTGCCCCGAGATGAATCAGACTCATCATGATGTGTGTTAAGTCAGTGTCTTATTCGGTTGTGGTTAACGGTCACACATCGTAGCATTTTGTGCCGAGTAGGGGATTGCGACCGGGAGATCCTTTCTCTTTGTACCTTTTCCTACTGATAGCCAAAGGTTTGTCCTACTATACGAACTTGGTGGTCAGACCAAAGAAATTGCACGGTCTATCGGTGATTTAGTGGTAATGGTCTGGATATGAGGATCCATCTCGGGGAAAGATCTCTCAGGTACTCGAGCAATCTGCTCCACGAGAAGTCTCAAGTGATAGTTTGGATCTGGCTGTGGATTGTAGCATGGCTCTGCCGGATTGCCCGTGAAGGCTATGGCGAACTCAAGATTTGATGGCCCTTCTTGTTGTGGGAGGAATTCTTCTTGATAAGGAGATTGTTCTTGAAATACCCAGGGATCTGATTGTTCTTCGTAGTAGGGGGGTTGGTACTGAAACCCGACTCCATAGTCTTCTCCTCCTTGGTTACTCCAGGGAGTCTCGGGGTAATACCACTCGGACGGTGGTGGATACCCCCAATGATTGGAGAAGCCATGAGGGTCCATGATTCAGATATGCACAAAAAAAAAAACAAAAAACACCCAAGTGAAAAGCAAGGGCGGAAAACAAAAGAAAAACACTAAAGTAACAAACTTCTGCCTTTCCTAATAATCTAGAAAGTCCCCGGCAACGGCGCCAAAAACTTGACACACTAAAACACAACACCTAACAATGGCCAAGTGTAACCAATGAAAGTGACTGCAGTATAGTGGCACAAGTAATAAATATCGAATCCATAGGTCTCTAGAGTTACTATTACTCAGCTTCAGTTCATTATCTAGCAAACTAGATTAAGGATTGATTTATAAACTACTCTACTGACTACTCTACTAATTACAAGTTGGGAACTCACTTAGGTATGATTCCCCCTAGCTCCTCAATTAGGTCCAAGTTGCAATTACATTTGGTTGATCTACTGATGATTAAACTGCGGAAGATCCTAAAATTAGCTTGGAATCTCTTAAGCTGACCAAGCCCTCTTAGACAGAATACCCGGCAGGCGACTAGCCTTCATCGGGATAGACTGCTAAGGCGATTCACACAGATCTCCACTACTGGAATGAATTCCAGTACAAAGCAGTGAATTGATTGACTCTCGCACAACCAATTCACCACTATCAATCAAGGAAGCTCTCTTAACCTAATCAGATTCTATCTATCATAGGTTAAAGCAGAAATTAAGAGAATTTGATTAAGATTCAATTGACTCAATAAATCATGCCTCAATCGATTATAATCAACAATATAGCATCCAAAACTTCATACAAGAAAGATCCTAACACATGGAACTAGGGTTCCTCAAAACCTAAATGAAGGGAAGTTACTCCATAGAGAAGAGAGAGACTGCAGAAATCTGATCTAGATCTTCAATCTCCATCTCCAAGCTTGATTCTCGAGCTCCAATGGCGAAGAAATCCTCCAAAATAGCTCCAAGAATGTTCCCAAGTCGCTCTCTCTCTCTAGGGTTCGTCCCTTGGGTGTTTGGGAACCAAAAACCCAGCTCCCCCTTTTCTTTTGGCTGAAAATCGGGTTTTAACCAGAAATTCTCGATCACGCGGCCAGGCCACACGGCCGTGTGGCTTTCCCAGCTGCCTGTGTGAAGGCTCGGTGATTTCCACACGGCCACATGGCCAGGTCACACGGCCGTGTGGGTTCTTAGGTTTGCCAGTGTGGCTTGCTCAGCCTCTGTTTAATGCTTCGTTTCTCCCTCGTCCGGACTCCGAATCAGTCGCCGTTTGATCCCAGACGCTCGTAGTCTCGTCCTATTTCTTTTCATGTCAAAATTACATGATTATTTGTCCATAATATGAGGTACAAGTCCATTATTCCTCAGGTCATGCTCGTGTTTCTTCTCTCGAATTGCTAAATGATCTCTGATTGACTTGAAACTTGCGCATATGCTTCAATTTACATGCTAGGGCCTGAAATGTGACAAAGGAACACAACCTAGCATAAAATAGGCCAAAGAAGCGATAATGCAAGCTTAAACGATCAAGAAACAAAGGGGAAAACTTGTGCAAATATCGAGTCATCAACCCTCACCCTTCTTTTGATCATTCTTATTCCCACCATCACCTTTCCCCGAACTAGGCACCTCTTCCCCATTACTCCCTTTAGGCTTCACATGCTCTCCCGCTGCCTTTCCTTTCGAGGAGCTATTTGATTTTCTTTTTTCCTGATTTGTTTGTCCTTCATTAGGGTCTGAGTTGTTAGTAGCATTCAGCTTTTTTGTCGCTGTATGCGAGCCATCCCCCTTTGCATGGGCCTGTTCACGTGTAGTATTAACCGTCATCTTTTCCTTCTCCAGCTTCCCATCATCTCGCCCCACAATTGGCTCCTCAACACCTCCGCTGTCCTCCTTCTTATCATGATTAGCTAGGCCCTGGAAACGATTTGTAGTATACTTCCCATCAGCCTTCCCTCTTAGTCCATCTCTCCTCCCCACGGGGCGACGCCGTGGAGCAACCTTCATCCATTCCCCATACGTTCTACCTTGAGATGGGTCCTCTCTCATATCATTATCTTCTTCCATTACTTCTTTTGTCTCCATCTCTAGCCCCTTCGGGATGCAATGGCACGTCCCAACAGATTTTCCATAAGTGCCACAATCGGTACATAGGCCATCAAGACCCTCGTACTGAACCAAGTACGTTGCCCCCTCAATCTTGAACTTCCATATCAGTGGCTGGGTAAGATCGACCTCGATACAGACCCTTGCATATTTTCCCCGAGCTCCCAATTCCGTCGCACGGTCCACCCGTACGGGTTTCCCCAGCCAAGCACCAATCTTCATTACCGCTTCCTTATTGATAAATTCAATTGGTAATTCAGGAAGTTGAGCCCATACCATCGTCGATTTCACTACTGTCTTCCATGGGTTAAAACCCTTGAGCCAACGGTGGACCGTGAGGTATGTATCACCCAACAACCATGGACCTCCCATAGTCGCTCCTTCATAATCCTTCTGACTCCTAAACTTGACCAGAAAGCAATCATTGTTCATATCGGAGATTTGAATTTCGCCATTCCTAGCCCACAGATAATTAAGGTGGCGGGCTAAAGGGATGTACAAGACACGCCTCCCTAGACCTTTTACCACCAATGCCGACCTCCATTCCCTCCGACACCATATCTTCTCAGCAGCCGTGAAAAGTATCATAGGGCATGTGGGATCCTCATTGTCATCATCTATCTTATCATCTGCCTCCTTCTCCCGTTGAGCAACATCTTCAGAATCAGATTCAACTACATACAGTCTCTTTGGCACTTTTACCATCCGGGGTAGACGATCCCTCAGCAGGTCTCCTCACCCCACTCGTATTATCCGGTGGCTTTTTCGTTCCCGTCGGCGAGGCCGACGACGGTTGCGCCGCCATTGAAAACCAGAACCCTAGCGCTCACTTCGTGAAAATTCCTTTCCAAAAAAATCGGAGCTTTATACTGAATTAACCTTTATTACAAACCAGCTATTATTAAAGTTAGTCTTATGCCTGCTCGATGGGCGGTATATATTTTAGGTTGCTTTTTCTTGCTACTTCTCTTTATATTTATTTGTTCTAATTATATATTGTCCGAGTCCTTGTCTTTTCAAATATCATATTCCCGACCATCTGATTTTATATAGACCAATATTTTAAATTTTAAAATTTGTACATGGCTTTTCAATGAGTTTATCTTTAGCGTATTTAAATGTTCAAGTCAAGATATTTTGAGCATTCAACATTTTATTCAACACGATCACAACATTTTCGAATAGAAAACTCAACTTATCATATTTATTGATCAATTATGTTCGATTTTCAAATTATTTCTCCATTTAAAACACGTGTTTTGTGTACCTAACATTCAAATTGTTATCAATCCTTGCAGTCTTAGAACTAAAACCAACAACTTTGCTATTTGGCTCTAATAAAACCTTAATTAACTGAGGCGACTGCCCGTTGACAGGAGCTTGGCTTTCATTTTTTTTTCTTTTACCACAAAGGAAAAAATTTAGAGGGGGATAAATTTTTTTCTAATTATTTTCACAATTTCATCTCTAGTCCAAAACTGGACATGAGAGTTTCTTCTCATTCAGCTCCTCGAAAATGAAATCCTTAAAAAAATCAATACAAAAGCAAATGAACACTGGCATGTTCTTAAAGAAGGTCCAAGAGTAAAAAGATTTCAAATGTTTGGTAACTAAGAAACCATGAAAGAAATATGGTTTAGACAAAAATGAAAGAAAAACAGTCGCATATCATGAGAAAGATTCAATTACCTAGAATTCACAAAGAGAAAGAGTATATCAATTGTTATTGCAATTTTAGAAGTGCAAGGGATGACATCTTCAAGATCACCTTTCACTTGCGCATATCCTTGGGAGAGCAATAATTATATTCAGTAAAATCAAGAATACTACAGTGTTGAGAAGATAATTCTCAATTATAGATATAAAAACATATTGGAGATTAAAAACCAATGATAAAATATGTGCAATATGAGTAGTACAATAGCTAGCTCGTGAGTTTACATAGAAGCTTCCCAATTACACTGTAGACACTATTGTATCTTAAAATAAAAGAAATTGTAATAAGGAAACTAAAGTAGTGGAATGATACTTATAATACTCAACTAAATGTATAAAATTCTAATCACTAATTACCACCAACCAAACCCAACATAGTGAGTCATTAAAATATAGTGTATAACCCACCATTGTAAACCATGTATCAATTAAAAGGCAGCTAGCAAAAATACTAAGTTAGACTCAATTTATATGTCAAGTTGTCATAGTGTTGTAAGTTGTAGCATACACAACCAACATATATAGTTGTAGTCCAATATTAACTCAGTAAACAATAATAAAAAAATATGACAATTTTGGATGAGTTATAATATTTCTTCTTATAGCTATACTATCAATCATCGAAAGAAGAGGAATTTTACAATGCTATATAGCATTGGTGCTATAGGTTTTTGCCTTTATGGTACAACTTGAAATTGTACCTTTAACGTTATGGTACAACTTCTGATTGTACCTATACTTTTTGTACAAATTCTTTTATGGTACAACTTAAACTTGTACCTTATGTGATGGTACAACTTCAAGTTGTAAAGTTGTACCATAACATAATGATACAAATTCTTTTATGGTACAACTTAAACTTGTACCTTATGTTATGGTACAACTTCAAGTTGTACATTAAAGCACCAATGCTATATAGCATAGTAGAAGTGCTCTCGAAAGAATTACAAAAGCTCTAGATTTCTGATTGCATCATGCAACTGAGTTCCTTCGTAAACCTTCTAATAATACCTTACTACATACTTTAACTTAGTTGGTGAACACATAGTAATTGTTAAATTCTTATTGGAAAATAAGGAGTTGTACAATTTATAATTGGTTGAATGGTAGTGAACGGTGACAATGACTTGAGAAAATTTCAAATTTGAGCATATGCGGAAACATGACGACTTAGGTTGTTCATATGAGTCTCACACTGACAATGAAGTAGAATCAATTTTTTTTTATGGATGTGCAAATGATTTTGGCTTGATCGAAGTCAAAATACATATACTAGTGGGTTGTGCTTTTAGAGAAATGAGGTTGGTAAGAGAAGTATATTTTTATGAATGGTAGTGGATTGATTTTGGATTTGATATATTTTGGAACAAAAAAATGTTTATAGAGGTGGTATGAAATATATGTCATACTGGTACGAAAAATATATCTCCGTGATAAAAAAACCATTTAGCCAAAAAAATTTAAGAGATACATGATTTTTCAGATTAAAATAAATCTATATTTTGAAGTCCAAACTAAAACAAAAAATACACAATAGTCAATTAGAAAAGCAATGTATTATAAAAATTCATTTAGATCTCTATCATTTGCTTGAGTTGGATATAAATTTTGCATAACTTTTACATTACACATTCAAATATTATTTAAGAAAAATCAAAAGAAAAAAATCAAAATTGTATTAAAGAAAAGTAAATGCAAACTTTTGAAAAGTATTTATAAAAGAAAAAAAGAAATATGTTGAAAATAAAAAGAAAGGGACTGAAATTTCATTAAAGGAAAATTAATGGTATTTTTTTTTGAATAAAGATGCATGGATGCTCCACTATTGAGCAAATGCTTATGTAGCAAATTTCACCACAACAGACATAATATAAATTAAGATTAAGATTAAGATAAGGAAAGATAAGATTAAGATTTAAGATTGGATGAGGGTTTTCTGTACAACCAGTCTCTTTTGAGTTGGTTGTAGATTTTGGATTACATAACCTGTAGAACACAACCAAACTTGTGTTCCTAATATTGAAATAAGTGTTCTTATTCAAAACATATTTGTGTCGTCTATAATCATATTTGTGATAAATTTAAGATCTTTTTTCATATATTTTCCCTTTTGATCACCCTAACCTAATGTATTCGTCGACTTAACTTAGGCGTACATTTATTATAGGCTGTAATTTTAAAAGAATAACATATTTCGGATGCATTCATTTATAACATTGTTAGCTTATTTTGGTAAGTGTTTGTGAAAAAACTAGACGTATGTTGAAACAAATTGCATTTCATTAAAATCAAACAACATTTGTGCATTTTGATACTTCTCACCTCGGTTCATCAAAGATATTATGAGACCCCAGGCAAATAGAGTCTTTCCGCAATCATTATAACAAACAAAACCAACATCACATCCAATCCTATACTAAGAAATTCGACCCGCATAGACCCCTCCATTGTTAACCAAACAAGCGCAGTTGTCAACCCACAAAACCCCACGCCGCAACTCCCATCGACGATGTCACCATAGTGGTTAAACGCCTGAAGTCCAAGAAGCTCAAGCTCATGCACCAAATTTCGTTCGCCACTAGCTTGCAACAGGCCCAACTCTGGGCACAACTCAAGAATATTGGGGAGAAATAGAAGGTAGCTCGGGGTGTCGTGCACCTTACGTAACAGCTTTCTATTATTGTTGGGACGGTGACATCCATGATTGTCGCCACGATGAACCCTATCCGAGTCATGGATCACAATATCTTGACTTCGCGACCTATTAAAGGGGACTGGGCTTGCACTTGCCTAACAAAAAGACGACACCTAGTTTTGTAGTACTTCGTTGCCTCACATATAAACTGCAGATTCCGATGCTTTGTCGGCCAAAATCAAGAAGAAATCTCCAATTTTCAGCAAAAACAAATTGTTGAAACTTCTTGCTTCCTAGTCTCCGCTATGATCCAATACAATACCAAGAAATCCCACCCACAATGAACCCCTTCGTCGTTAACCAAGCCAGCACAGTTGGCATCTTGCAACCCCCCCCCCCCTGACGCAACTCCGATGCCACTATAATGGTTAAATGCCTCAACTCTCAGAAGCTCAGCTCATGCACCACATTCCATTCGCCACCGACGTGCAGCAAGCCCAGCTAAGGGCACAACTCAAGAATTTTAGGGAGGACTAGAATGTGGCTTTGGCCACCATGCACCGCGCGCAAGTGCTTTCTGTTGTTGATGGGACGACGATTTACTTGATTGCTGGCGCGGCGAACCCCATCCGCGTCATGGATCGCAAGATTCCAAGGGCGAGGAGGAGGATGTTTCTCGAATAGCCGTACGGAACTTTGTTGTTGAGAGTCCAGGCAAACACCACTAGATTCACAAGTAATGCGACAATAAAATAGTGGTGGCCGAGAGACCTATTTCTTCATTGCGGCCAGAAATTCAACGTCTAATCGGCGGTCCTCTCTACAATGGCGGCCCGATCTCCACTCTCCTCGGTCACCCTCTTTCTTTAGGTCCTTCTCGACTTCCTCCAAAATTTCCCACTATTTTGTTGTTCCTTTCTTTCCAGTCTGGTTTCCCATCTATTCCGTAGTGGGCATTTTCCCTCTATAAGGCGACGACAAGTTCTGTCCCAGTGGGGCATTCCTCTATTGAGTCATTGTCCGCCGGCGATCTTGTATCTTTTTCCCGACGGAAGCTCTAATGTGCCGAATTTTTATCTCCACTAGCGAACTCACCTGGGCCCATCTATTCTGCCACCGGCTTTCTCCCTCCGTCGTGGACTTCCTCAACGACAACAAGTTCCACCCCAGTGGGTTCTTCCTCTCTTCAGCCGTAGTCCATCTTTAGAAATCTTCTGTTTCTTTCCCCGAGAGAAGCTCTGTCGTATCGGCTTTTTCCTCCATCGGCGAACTTGCCTCGGCCTCCTCAATCGGGGCCAATTATTCTGCTGCCGGCTTTTCTCTTCCGTAGCGTACTTCCTCGACGACGGCAAGTTATGCCCAACAGGTTTTTCCTCTCTTTAGCCACAGTTCGTCACCGACGATCTTGTTTCTTTGCCCGACGAAAGCTCCATCGTGCCCGCTTTTTCCCTCCACTTGCAAACTCGCTTGGACCTCTCAACCGTGCATGTTCGTTCATTCTTTTCTGGGCCCCTGGGCTTTCGTGTTGGGCTGGATCTGAGAGAAAGTTACTAAAGTCCAGTGGAAGGATAGTAGTGGTGACTTTGTCCACATATTTTTTACAGAGTGATACACATGAACAGTTTTCATATTCTTTCATTACTTGGATTCCGTACAAAAAAAAAACACAAATCTTGACAATTTATTGTGGCTTGCCGCAGGTATAGATTGGAGTCCTATTAATATTCCTTTGTTGTAAAGCCCACCAAGAGAAATATAGAAAGACTGTTCAAATTTTGCTCACCTGCAAGCAAAATGTGGCCGACAGCAGGACAACTTGGACATCCTTCGACCTATTAAGGGAAGTTCCTTCACATGGAGTAGCTTCTCGAAAGATACTAGCCTTATTAAAAAGGGCGCTACGTGGAACATGAAAAATGGCAGACGCACTAAGTTTTGGCTTGATGCATGGTTTTTGTAGGTACTACTTAAGTAAGTTGCCACCGACGAGGTTCCGCCGAGCATGAAGGAGCACTCTTGGGAGATTTCATTCGAGATGATGACACCTAGAGGATGAAGTTGTTGAGCGACCTATTTCCTACTGAAATTAGCAAAAGATTCTCAGTGTGGCAGTGGATAAGTAGTCACAAGAAGAAGATACACTATTTTGGGATGCTTCCTCATACGACAAGTTCTCTACCAAATTTGTTTTTGACTTCTGAAGGATCAGGTCTCAGATCCAGATGAGAGAATTTGGAGGCTATCTGTACCAGAGAGAGTAAGGAACTTCATGTAGCCGACACACCTGGGTGGCATAGCAACTAATGCTCTTCGTTTTACCAGGAAAGTTGCTACCAACCCAGATTGCATGAGATGTTCAGGATTATCGAAAACTATCATGCACATCCTTCGAGATTCCCCCCCCCCCCCAACTGCCTTTTTCTGGACACGACATATCCCTAGTCAACAACAACATGAGATCTCCAGCTCAAGTTGGGATGGGTGGCTGCGGACAAATTTATTGAGTGGTAATCGAACACCGAAAGGAATAGAACGACCTGTGTTCTTCAGCATGGTCGTATGACTTATATGGAAGAATCACTACACAACCTGCTTCACAGGCCTTGCAGTGGCTCTATCTCCTCCGTCCCTTGAATATTCAATCATGGTTAAAGCCAAGTTGTGGTATGATGCTTGGAATGCCCGTCGCTTCTTCCTGATTGCACGAATAGGCCAGCAAGCCAAGTGATATCAAACATTGGTTGGATGCCACCGCTAGAGGGGTGGCTAACCCACAATATTAATGGGGCCTCAAATTGAAATAATTAATGAAGAGAAAATTAAAAGAGTGTAAAATCATAATTATAAACATATAAGTAAAAATTACCATAGAGGAAATTGAAAGAGGTTTTGTTAGCTATACTTATCTAGAATAACTGTTGGTATCTCTAATAATTGCAACAGACGACAAGCTCAAGGACTGTAGTGGGTGGAATTGGAACAGTCGTCGGGAAACCGATGTCGTTCTTTCCCACATTGGTGTCGCAGAACTTCCGTCATCTGTCTTCACTTCACCATGCGCTAATGTACCTCTGCTCGATGAAGAAAGTGAGCGACATGATAGAGCATACGACGATGACCAGCCGAAGCCGAGGTACAACTAAGGAACTCTAATATGGTCCCATACAATCGCAACTATTAATATCATGATATTAAAGTAGATCAATTTAAATAAATGCATAAATTTTAGAGTAAAGACTAATTATTAGCCAAACCTTTCTCGATTTTTTTTTTATACTAGTCAAATCTTTTGAATTACTAATAATTATTCAAATATCAACTTCAAGTTAGCAAATTTGTTAGTAATATTGACCTGACAACATGATACTGACTTGGAAAAGACACATGGAAGTCAACATTCCAAAACTTCAGTATTTTAACAACGAAAAGGAGTTAGAAAATTATTAACGGTAACAGAAAAATGGCTAATATTTTAATGCATTACAAAAAAATTGACTAATTATTAGTAATTCAATAGATTTGACTGATAAAAAACAAAGCGAAATTATTTTGACTAATAATTAGTAATTACTTTAAATTTTAGTTCACAGAATCATAAATTACATAAATATTAACCATTGGAAATACCACACCAACCTACTATTTTTAATCTTAAATCTTAGGAGATTGATTTTATTAATTAATTGTGTCCGACCGACCCTTATCCGCGAAAGGTCGCACAAAAAAAAAAAAAAACCCACGATGGAATGGAAGGCAAAACAGCAAAAGCAAAGATCTGACACGTTTGTCCACGATTGGGCCAAAGGATCCACACCCGCTAGTCGCCACCGTCAAACATGAGGATATTCTTATTTGGGCTTTGTATGTCCAGACAATAAACTATGAAGGGACGATTGGGCTTATGTGTCGCTCATCGAGAGACTGCATGCACACACAGCACACTCGTTATCTCATCGGCATAGCATCCTCGTCCGCCATAGGATAGGCAGAGATGCTAATGTACAGATAGATAAATTCATAAACAGGCAATGAAAAACGCTTTTACTTAAACAATCCAATTCCCGAATTCGGAGGACGGCAATGGCAATGGAATCAACCAATGATTCGTTACTATGAAGTTAATTACTAATTTAATCAAACCAGCAGTCCAGGTGGCCACTATCTCTGCCAGCTGGCGTACAAACCCGAAACACTCTCTAACTAGAAGAAGCAATTTCATTTGCTTTGAATATTCAGAAACCAGAAAGTACTCTGCATTTCCACTCACAGATTTCCGTGTTCCACCGCAATTCCTCCTCCATTACTCTCTTCTGTCCAAGCTCATCTTCATCGGAAGCTAGCTCTCGATCATCCGAGCCGACCATTCATGGCGTCCCTGAGCTTCGCGCCCCAGCCGCTCACCTGCCGGAACCTCGATTCCCGGGCGAGATCGGTACAGAGTCGGCGGCGCGGGGTCGGTTTCTGCAACTTCAAGCTCGTGGCCGGCGGCGGCGGTGAGAATGGAAGCGCGGCAGCGGAGCCGGATCTGAGCGTGACGGTGAACGGATTGAAGATGCCTAATCCGTTCGTGATCGGGTCTGGTCCCCCCGGGACCAACTACACTGTGATGAAGCGTGCGTTTGATGAAGGCTGGGGTGCTGTGATTGCCAAGACTGTGAGTCGTCCTTTTCTCTTCCTCTTCACTTTACTTCACTTGGATTACTCGATCGGTGTTTTGATTTCGTTCGATTCGCTGCCCGACTCTTCTGAGAATTTGATTTATACTGCCTACCTGATAAGTTTGAGAATTTGGATCCGTTTTAGAACTATTCGTGTCAATTTTCACCCATGGATGAAACCATGATAATTGAAATGGACTCTAGTCTTTCCGCTAAGCTTTTAGTTTTGACCATCGTAGGGGAAAGGAGCCTGATCAGAGGTCGATTATTGTACAGGTTCTTTCTATAGTAAATTATTGTCTTGGAATTGGTCCGTATCCAGTTATCCACTACTCTATGTACTGGTATTTCAGTAAAAAGAGGTCGTCGTCTTTACTTCCGGCGTTTCGAATTCGCCAGTTGACTATTGAGGGTCTGGGTAACAGTTTGAAGGAGTGAGACTGTAAGAGGGGTCGCTTTGTGAAGAATGAGTTGGGGATTCTTGTAACTGTGCATGCATGAGAGATGGCTAAAGAGTGGCAATAATGTTCTTGGATCACCCTGGGGGCTCTCTTTTTGCAGGCTTCTTTTCATTCATTGTGTCGTCCTCTGTCCTTCTTCTGCTCCCCCTTTAGTTGTCTCTACTTTCCCCTTGTTGTATCTCCTCTTCATCTTGTTGTTTCCTTTGTCTTTTGTTCTTTGGTTTGGCGCTCACTCCTCATGGCTGCTTGACTCATGTTACTTAGTTTCCTTTTTTCTGTGGAATGCAATCACCCTCATTGATTTTTTTTGTTTGTTTGTTTGTTTCACATGGCTACTCATTTGTGCTCTCTTTCTCTCCAATACTCAAATCGTTCCTCTTCTTGGGGAACTGCCGACTATTTGGGTAATGTACCCCAGGTTAAGGATGGATTCTCTTCAATTGGCATCACACATACTATTTTACAATGGTTAGTGGCATTGAGCAACATCTGCAATGGGCAATTCTCAAGTTTTGTGAATGGGAGCCATATATTGCTTTACTAATTTATGAATTACTGTAGGAAACAAAGGATATTGGTCTAAGTTTGAACATTTGTTCTGTTTTTAGTCTCTTAAGGATATATATTTAGCTGTTTCTGGGAGATGTCGATGGTACAAATGTACAATGACAGTGATTGGCATTATATGTATTTCAGTTTATTTAAATATATGTAGATGGCTTTGTTTTTACTTATTCCATTTGTATGGCGCACTACCTACTCGAACTGTATCTCAATCCTCAAATGCTATTTCAGTGAATTTCATGTTCTATTTCCCGCTGCTTATTGAGAACCATCTCTGAGTTTCTTCCGAAGCATCCTGCTTTCATCTGCTATCTGATGAGATTTAGTTGTTCATACTGATTTGGCAGGTGTCGCTGGATGCAGCTAAGGTAATTAATGTAACTCCTCGGTATGCCAAGTTACGGGCTGGAGCAAATGGCTCAGCCAAAGGACAGATAATCGGCTGGGAGAACATAGAGCTTATAAGTGACAGACCCCTCGAGATAATGCTGCAAGAGTTTAAGCAATTGAAGGAGGAATATCCAGATAGGATTCTGATTGCTTCTATCATGGAGGAGTACAGCAAATCTGGTTGGGAGGAACTCATAGATCGTGTAGAGCAAACTGGAATTGTGAGCTTAACTTATAACCCCTAATAATTGAATATATCAGTATTGGTCACTGCTTGCCTAATTATAGTCTTAAATCTACTATGCAGGATGCTCTTGAAATCAATTTCTCTTGTCCTCATGGTATGCCTGAGCGTAAAATGGGCGCAGCAGTCGGACAGGACTGTGCACTATTGGAAGAAGTTTGTGGATGGATAAATGCAAAAGCTACTGTTCCTGTTTGGGCTAAGATGACTCCTAATATCACTGACATTACACAGGTGACTTACTTCTTTGCATCCGTGTTTTCCCACTTCTTATACATCTCATATTTTCTCTGCTTCATGTATAACTTCCACCGATCCCCTAGAGTATGACATCTGTTCCTCAGTCCTATGTGAGGTCTAAGGTCTTACACAAGGACAAGGGTAGTTAGTAACTCTAGTTTTAATCAGGGCCCCGTTAATTCTCTAGGTATTCGACATGAACTGTACATGCATTATCCTGTGCATTCTTTACGAATCTAGTCCAAAAGGCTATGAAGTTACATAATTCAATAGTGCCAAGAAGTCCTTTTTTTCTTTATGTTTGGTTGGGAAGAGGAAGGAGGGGTTGGATAATTGCAGTAACCCAAACCTAGAGACAACCTTGTAAGAGGGGTGATAAAAAAAGCATAGGAATATATTCCTTGCATGAAGAAAAATTGTAAGTCAGAATACAACATTCAACCCCGGCAGTTAACCCCATGATCTTCATAGGAGCACAATTTATGCATCTGGGCTGGCTGCTGTTGGTTCCTCTGTCATGTATTCTCTTCTGGTTTCTGAGTGCTTTAAAGAGGAAAATTTCCATGACATTCTATTCACCACAATTATTTCGTGAACATGTTGACGAACACTCAAGTGCTTTTCTTTTTGTCCAACAGCCAGCTAGGGTGGCCCTAAAATCTGGATGTGAGGGTATAGCAGCCATTAACACCATCATGAGTGTAATGGGAATCAATTTGAAAACCTTGCGTCCAGAGCCCTGTGTAGAGGGGTACGTAACTCTTCTTGGACTATGCGCCGATTTCTGCCATGTCATCTAGGCATATATGCATTCTTCACATTGAGCCTCTTGGTATCAGATATTCAACTCCAGGTGGTTACTCTTCCAAAGCAGTGCACCCAATTGCACTCGGAAAAGTAATGAATATCGCCAAAATGATGAAGGCGGAATTTAACGACGAGCAGTACTCACTCTCTGGCATTGGAGGTGCCGAGACAGGTGGTGATGCAGCCGAGTTTATTCTCCTTGGAGCAAGCACAGTTCAGGTAGGAACCATCCCCCCCTTCCTTGTAACTAGAAAGCTCGTTCTCATTTGATTGGTTATGATCATGTCCGAGCAGGTGTGCACGGGAGTAATGATGCACGGCTATCCCATGGTGAAGAGCCTCTGCGAGGAGCTCAAGGACTTCATGAGAACGCACGACTTCTCGTCCATTGAAGATTTCAGAGGGTAAATGGCGTTCAGATTGCTATGGCATGATGCTTTTTATCTACTTCGATCGCTAACGAGACAGTAGGAATCAAAACTTAACAAAAACTGTTTCTTTTTGGGATTTCACAGGGCATCTCTGGATTACTTCACAACTCACACCGATTTAGTACGGCGGCAGCAAGAGGCCATTCAACAGAGGAAGGCTGTGAGGAAAGGTTTGAAATCTGATAAAGAATGGACCGGAGACGGGTTTGTAGAAGAGACTGAGAGCATGGTTTCCAATTGAACACCATTCCTCCTTCTCGATCTCCTTCTGTGTCCCATACTTGTCTGATTAAAATGAAAAATTAACGAATAAAAGAGGCAAGCTAAAGGATGTTGTCTGTTAATGATGAACTGTGGAAGGCTTCTGTGCATTACTACGAATATGAACACGAATGTTGCGTAAATCTGAACTGTAATATTTGACTGTAAAACTTCAGAATCAGTGAATTACCCATGCTCACTTTGTATCATTGTATGTGATTATGTACTTGTGCGCATGCAGAACAGAGAGCAGCAATGATTACTTGTACTAAGTGTGGAACGAATATGTTGTGGTTGGCTTGTTAAATCTAAATCTAAGTCTTAAGGTTACTGATAATTAATTAGGGATTTCCTATGGTGACTTGAAGTAAGGTGACTTGAATATTTTTACCTGCTATAGCAGGTTTCACAGGTCGCATTACGTAAAACACAACAGGTGTTACGTAATGGTTACGTAATATATTCTTATCTTACGTAACAGTTGTAAAAGGTCATTACGGAAGCCTTACGTAATGGACGGTCTTCTTACGTAATGAATATTCACTATGCATTACGTAAAGTGTTAAGTCATTACGTAATCCTTACGTAACGCTTCAAATATAACTGTTACGTAAGAAATAACGGTTGTTTGTTAACTTTACGTAATGAGTGTGTATTTTACGTAACTGTTGTAATAGTGCCATTACGGAAGCCTTACGTAATAAACGATCATTTTACGTAATGAATACATTTGCGTTACGTAAAGTGATAAGTCATTACGGAAACCTTACGTAATGCTTCTGATTTAACTGTTACGTAAGAAATAACTATCATTACGTAACCTTTACGGAATATATGTGTATTTTACGTAATAGTTGTAAAATCTCGACAAGGAAGACTTACGTAATGAACGGTCCTTTTACGTAATGAAAATTAACTTAGTGTTACGTAAAGTATTAAACCATTACGTAAGTCTTACGTAAAACTTTTGATTTAACTGTTACGTAAGAAACCATTATCGTTCCATAATCTTTACGTAATAGATATGTAGTTTACGTAACCGATGTAATTAAAAAGAGTAAGAATTTAAAAAAAATATGAAAAAGGAAAAAACAAAGCAAACGTGAATGTGAAAAAGGAAAAAAAAAAACAAAAAGAAGTTAAAAGGGGAAAGTGGTGGCCGGCGGTGCTGATTGCCCGTCTTTCTTTTTTGTTTTTATTTTTTTAATCAATGGCTTAAAATAATTTCAATTTATTTTAACGGTCAAGATCTATACAAGTTACCTAACTTGAAATTATACCCAAGTTACCATAGGAGATCCCTAATTAATTAAGAATGTATTGGGCTAATCATTGGGGGGATTAGGATTAACAACTACAGATATTTGGATTTCTTTATGGAGATTATGATGACAGCGAAATGAAACCCTATCAAATCACGTGGGTGGGACTGGGGAGTAGTTCCAAAGAAACGAAAGGGAAAAAGCCATGTGCACTTGTCTCGTGTCCTTCTTGAAACATTCCCATTTTGACTTGACTACACTATAACTCAAGTTGCACGGCATGCAAATCTCCATGATGAAAGTGCATGTGGTAACTACACGTGTATACGGAACCTCGCATTCGACGATATCGGTATGTGCATATAGGGTGAAACTACGTACGATAGATTATTGATGAGTGATTCATAAACATTAGATACATTAATCGTGTATGAGGCGAGAAGTAGAGCTTGTGGAGATCATGATCAAAGAGCTGTATTTGGGATGTCATATAACAATCTATTCGCAAAATTCTAATTTCTATCAATCTGTTTAAATATAGTGCAACAGTTTGCGAAATTTGAAGGATCATACGTGTAAAGTTCGACCATCATGATGCCTAACAAGCTCACTTGAAAAAAGTAAATCAGTATAAACACTTGAGATTGGTGATGTAGATGAGGTAGGGGTTCTCACAAATAAAAATGAAGCACATGGATGGTGTGTTGTTATTTAAAAAGATACTTCTACTAAATTAATACATGATTGATGCCATAATTCAAATTATGTCCTAAACATAATCATACAAAATGATTTGCAATTATTATTGAGCCCAATTCCGTTAAAATAAATTGAAAATCAGCTTATGCATAGATTATAAAAAAAACCTAGATAAAAAAGTTGAATTGTGAAAATTGACCAATTGGTAAAAATTCTTGCTATAAATAGCGTATAGACTATATTATAGAGGTTGACGAGAATCTAAACGTATAACATTAACATAACAAACAAAGCTCTCGCTTTGCTTCTCGGAGAAGCCGATTTCTCTCTTTCCACCCTATCAATGAAGGAGATCCACGCCATTTCCATTCCAGCAGCAACACAGTTTAATTATTAGATTAGTACCCTAATAATAGTCATCAAACGCTTAATTACAAAAACCGTCGCTTCCTCCCTCCCTGTTTCGAAATCTGGTTTTGGTTTGCTCGGCCAGCCATGGCCGTTTCTCTCATCAACATCATCTTTCCAATCCCTCCCAAACCCCCTTTCTCTCCCTAGCCAACCTCTCCTCAACTCCTTCCGTCCCTCTCCAGTTCATTTCTTCGTCGTGATGCTCGTGTTCTGAAACCAATTTCATCGGTCCAATTTCCATGGCGATCGTCACCGGCGATCGCTACTTGGAAAAGCTGGTAAACTTCGTCGAGCAGCAGGCCGGTCCGCTGATCGACGGCGCTCTCGTCCTCAAGCTCAACCCGGCGGGGCTCCACTACGTCCACTCCCGTCTCGAGGCCTTGCAGGAGCTGGAGAATCTCGTCGCCGGTGCTCCCGTCGACTACCTCCGCGCCTACGTCTCCGACCTTGGGGACTACCGCGCGCTCGAGCAGCTCCGCCGTATCCTCAGGCTGCTCACGTCGCTCAAGGTCGTCTCGGTCCTGCCGCCGCCGACGCGAGATCCTACGCCTCTGTCCTTGCTGCCGTTTGAGAAGTTGAAGGTGTTGGAGCTTAGAGGATGCGATTTGTCAACTTCGGCTGCCAGGGGTTTGCTTGAGCTGAGGCATACCTTGGAGAAGATCGTCTGTCACAATTCTACTGTGAGTGCCAACTCTGGTCTCCCCTGTTCCACTATTCTGTTTCCTCCCCCCCTAATTCGTTCCCGAACTTACTCAATTGCGGTAGTGGAAGATAGAATTCAAGCTTGAACTCTCTCGTGTGATTTGTTTATAGGATGGATAGCTTTTAATTTTGGAACCTTACATTCTTTGCTTTCTTTTCACCATCTAGGATGCTCTTCGGCATGTGTTTGCCAGCAGGATTGTGGACATCAAGGACTCTCCACACTGGAACAAGCTATCGTTTGTGTCATGTGCATCTAACCGGTTGATTTTGATGGACGAGTCGCTGCAGCTCCTTCCGGCTGTTGAGATTCTTGATTTGAGTCGAAATAAGTTTGCTAAAGTTGATAATCTACGGAAATGTGTTAATTTGAAGCACCTGGATCTTGGATTCAATCATCTAAGAAGAATTGCTCCCTTCGGTGAGGTAGGTGTTGATGCCTGTATGCTCTAAGTAGTTCTTTTAGATATGTTGGCGTATCGTTTTCGACGGGTATTCTTTTGAAATTTTGTGCATAAGTTCATTTGTTGAATTGATCTGTGAAATTCAGTAGTGTTTCCTTGTATCTTATTATACCAAGTTGTTGTTACTGTTTTTTTTCTTCTTTCCCAATCTCAAGCAGATATAGCATGCTTCATAGTAGGTATATTGTTATCCTTAGTTCTTATTTTCTAAGTTGGGTGCTGCTATGTGATTCTAGTACTGGCATGTAGGTGATGCTGTATCAAAAACTTCACGATGAGGAATATTGCGAACTGTCCTCCAAAAGATTAATAGAAAATGTATTGCAAAGTCCAGTTAACAGGACTGGTACTTCTCTTGTAAATTTCTCTGAGAAACCATCTCTTGATTAAATGGTGATAAGATATGGATGGGGCTAGACTAGAGTTGAGAGTTCAGTTTCAGGTTTTATGCATAATCCTTGAGCAAAGGAAATTAATAGTTGATTCAGGGATATCTAAAAGATTATGTATGAAGTGAACGTTGGGGCAACAACATACCTAGCTTATTTACTTCTCTGGCCGTGTAACTTAGTGTGAAGTCGATCATTATATTTAGGCATTAGCTCTATGCAAACAAGTAAGTATTGTCTTGTGTGCCCCTTCAACTTTGCAGTGAATCCCGATCTGAGCAATGGCAATTATTAAAATATATTCCTGAATGCTGATAACATTCTAATTGCTCATGAAATTCAGAACTGTGAGTCAGAGTACTGATTATAAGATCCTGGTTTGGCTCTGCAGGTACCATGCAACATTGTTAAGCTTGTACTGAGGAACAATGCATTGACAACATTGCATGGCCTTGAGAACTTAAAATCGCTAGAGCATCTTGATGTCTCATACAATATCGTCTCCAACTTTTTGGAGCTGGAGGTCCTTTCAAGCCTTCCATCACTATGCAACTTGTGGCTGGAAGGAAATCCATTATGTTGCGGGAGATGGTATCGAGCACAAGTATTCAGCTATTTTTCTCAACCTTGCAATGTAAGTTTTGGAATTTGTACTATAATAATAATTTCCGTTCCCTTCCTCATCCACTACATCTTCAACCATGGTATCGGAATCAATGGGAAAGCCGAGATTTGGTAAGGAGCGCCACAGTGTATATAGGCGAAATGAATGGCCTTGCATGCAGAGTTTTTGTCCTCCTAGTACCTGAATGAGGTTTCAATTCATGGGTTGAAAGCGAGTGTTTTCATTAGTGATTATAAGAAGGTTATGGTGAGGCACAATATGGAAAATTTCTATTTGTGATCCTTTTCCATTGTAGTATTGCGGGACTTTTACTGGAGAGTAATAGGAATAAGGGGCTGATTATATTAATCACTCTTTCTGGAAAGCCAACTACGACAAATAGAAGGGAGAAGAGCAGGGAAGAATATGCAGTTGATAAGATTAATGGCCAGGATTAGGACGGGTATTTGAATAATTGGATTACGTGATCGGTATACAAAAGTTAGCAACTATTATGTCTTCTTTTAGTGGAATCCATGTTTTAAGAAATGACTTGACCATCTTCTAATCGGATATTCGGTATATTGAGAATTGTGATACTGCTGAATTGGCAAGTTGGGAAAATATGCGGTTGGTAAGGATTTAACTGGAGAAAGAAGGTAACTCTGATTGTGTCTGTTTTGAGTGGGCAGAAGATGTACATCTTGTGCTGATTGAAATCATCTTTATATGACTTTGTTTTTGTCACAAGGTCATGCTATGCTAATAGCCATCTTGTTCATCTTCTTTTGCTGATTAGTTGAAGCTGGATGACAAGCCGATCAACACAAGGGAGTACTGGAAGAGACAAATCATAGTTGCCAGCCGACACAAGCGACCTGCCAGCTTTGGGTTTTATTCTCCTGCTATAGAAGATGCTTTAGGAGTGGGTTGTATCAACAAGAAAAAAGTATGTAATTACCAACAAGATGTATGTTAGTTAATTAATGTGTGAGCATACCTGATTGTGCCTTGTGTTTCTCAGTACTTTGCCTGATTCTACCTTCCTGTGGCGAATTAGTGTTTTCACTGTTGAATACTATTGTTGTCTTTTACTTATACTGCAAGGTGCCATTTGCTTATAATATCTCACTAAGCCAAAGCATTTTGCAGCAAAAAGTATGTCGTCTTGCCTCAATCAAGAGTGATGAAGATTGCTTGTCTTCTATGTCCGATCCGGAGTCTTCCGCATGCAATCATGAGGCTCAAAGCAAGGAAGAGAACATGAAATCTGATGATGAAGCTGAAATTGTCAATTTGATGAACAGAGTTGAACTCATGAAGAAAGAGCGCTCTTCTCTTTGGTTGAAAGAATTAAAGAAATGGATGGATCCTGAACCTGTGAAATCTTTGGATTGCAATACATATAATGGCTCCATCTCAGAGGCTGCAAAAGGAATCATTGAAGGAAACAAAGTAAGGCAGAAGCATGAGGGAAAAGGGTCAAGATGTTCCTGTGACTGTCTTCAAGCTTCTGAAGATGAGACTAGCACCAATGTTTTTGACTCAGACAGTTCCCTTATGGACGTGCATAATGATGCACAGGGTGGTATTGCTGTGCCTGATTCTGGAAGGAAGATTTTCAAGTCGAAGTATCAAGGGCTAGGTACTCCAACTGTGCGAACTGCGAGTTCACATCTTGATAATTCCAAAGTCCAGAGAGGATGGGGGATGTTTGAAAATGTTAGATTATCACCATTGAACACGATAGATGACACAACAGAATCTCTGTCGTCTTCTAATTTCCATGGGTCTCCACCTCACTATCAAAGGGACCTTTTGCACCGTCGCCATAACCTGGTGGAAGAAATTATGCAGCTTTCTGTCGATTCCTATTCAGTGGTATCTTCTGATACTGATACAACTGCTAGCGAAGATGAATTTTATGACATTGGGCATCCTATGTATCAATATGATGATGGAAGTCAATTGGCTGAAGAAAACTGTAATCCGAATCTTTCAAGGATCTCATTATCAGTTAGCAATTGGGAGAAGACTGGTGAAGGGAATTCTATTCATCACAGAGGAGGTGACAAATATGTATGGAACTCGCATTCTGGACAAATATCTAGTATATCAGAAAGAGCAGGTACATGGACCAATGGTTCGTCTGGTGTTTCTTGCAATGGTGTAGTTCCTAATTCTGATGACCAAGAGGCTCATGAGGCGGAGAAGAGCAAAGATAGGAGCAAAGCAAGGAGAATTGGTCAAATAGCAGAAAATTCGGTTGAATGTACAGGCCCATCAGGAAAGTCTAATGGTTGTCCAAATGCTTGTGAAGGCATAAATGAGAATCAACGAGAGCAAATAGTTGAGGAAAATGGTATTCTGGAGGCCATTGATGAGAAATGGTTGCGTACAAGTGCGTTTACTTCCATACATTCAACGGTTGGTAAATCTTCCGCTGATTCCATAGAGAAAGACTTCCCGTGATGAGACCTGTCTTTATTCTGTGTTTTGCAGTTGTATTCTTGAGACAGAAGCCTCACTCAAGGAAAGGTAGACTTTCTTCAGTAACCGAGGTTGCTTCATTGTATATAGTATGAAGTCATTATTTTCTGCATTCCACGCTTGAGATGGAGCCCGTGTAATCTTCCAAAGCTCTTCGCTTGGGTCTGAAGTACTCCTCAGTCATATAGAAGCGCCCTTTGGTGACTTCGAAATCAATTTTTATTACCGGGGGACAATGTATCATAGTGGAGAATGTTAATATTTTGTATCTCACTGATCACTGTCTACCCATGACTCATAAATTTGATCGACACATGCATCTTCTCTTAAGACTAACACTAGGATTGACCATAGATGAATGCCGTTATACTTTACTGATTCAGAAGCCCAAGAACCATTCATTCACACGGCAGTTTCTATTTCTAATTTGTTTGAGACCCTTGCAAAAAGAGGCTGCAGGTCTTCATGGATTTTTGTCTGAGGTGCCAAAGTTCTAGTTTTTCTCATGGTAGGAACCATCGTTAATCAAAGAGTTAAGTTTCTTCTCTACATTGCAAATATTTATCCCTTTTTGAGAGTTAACATTAGTAGTACTTTGGTTGGATATGGGGTATCAGTTTGTTCTATAGCGTCTCATATAGCAAAGGGTTAAGAAATTCGGGGTCTTACCCATGTTTTATGTATCGCAGCTTTTCTTACTCGTATTTGAATTCTCTGAGTTTGTCTGGTTGCAGTGAAGTTGTGTTATTATGGAGCAGTGAGATCAAGCTGCATTTGCTGCTTATCGGTTTAGCTTTGAATGGTACAGGTTAGTTTCGGAGCTCTTAGATATGGAATAATATTTCAATACTTTTTGTTGAGTTTGATATATGGAACTTTCTTATCTTTGGTTCATCATCACAAATATGGAGGTTCTCTTTGCTGGCATGCTGCAGGAAATACTTTCATTTTGTTACAAAATTGAAGATGTTAGTGAAGTCATGACTGGCATTGGACTTCAGATCGTGAGGTGAGTTACTTCTGTTTCTCACTTCCTTGTGAACATTTTGTGATTGGTGATGTTCCTTAACCTGGTTCCCTTTTGTGTTCTTGCCTGTCAGAGTGTCCATCCAGAGGCAAGCAACCTACTTGTTTCTGACCAGGAGCATTGAAAAGTCAAGGCCAGCTCTTTTGTCCTTTGGATCTTTTCAGTTCCTTGCCGTCAAATGAGACTTTTTCATTCATAAGGTTCTCTATGTTATCCCCTTTCTCATATGAATTATGTTTTGATTAATTGATTTCTGGCAGTGCATGTGTAGTAATATTTCAGATTGGCCAATTAGTCCGGACTTTTCTGTTCACGTGTCTTTTATTTAAAATTCTACCGGTGTATTTTGGAAACCTGTGTGGCAGTTTGGAGCAGGTTCAGGTTGAGTTGTTTGAGAAACAAATATGTGGTGGTTCAAGAACAAGCATATATCAAATATTCTATGGTTCATTTCCGTCACAGCAACACAGGTGAGCTTTCTTCTCCTAAACTAGTGGACTTGATGATGATATTAGAACTTAGACGGACATGAAATGCCTAGAACATTTATTTAGTGCAAAGCAAGGCCTTTGATAGGTAGCATGGAGGAAGAACCGCCACGCCACACCAGTTGATGATAAGGTTTTTTAGGTTTGGCACCTTAACTCAAGGTTGATGACTCTTAGAAGTCACAATGAATGACTCTTGCAAAAAGGCACTGAAATTTGTATTCACAATACAAGCCCTCTTATATAGAGAGGCTGTAAAGTAGAAGAAAGAAATCCCACTACTAGCCGAATAGTAACCTTGTGAAATTCTGCATAGAAACCTGGAATGGAAAGCTCTTGAAGATTGTTCTTAGCGGATTAGTTGAAGCTGGAAGATGGTTCATCCTGTGGTGATTGGAATTATCTTTATACTAGTTTGTTTTGTCACGAAGTCCTGCTATGCTAATAACCATCTTGTTCTTGTTCATCTTCTTTTGCTGATTAGTTGAAGCTGGATGACAAGCCAATCAGCACAAGGGAAGGGAGTACTGGTTGCGTCTCTTGCCTGCCATTCATAAGCACAAGCAATGGTGGCCTGAAGGGCCAAATAATTACAGCATGTCTGCAACAGATGCAAAGACAGGAAGGTTGAGAGGGCCAAATTGGAGTTGCTTGCTATAGCAAGGGTCGAAGGCATGTTTCAAGTGAAGCGCGGCGCATCTGTACACCATATTTATTCAGTGCATCAAACCTGTATAGATAGGCATAAGCTAGTGGAGTTGTGTCATAGCCCAAGAAGCTTGCAATCTGATTAGCAACAACTTTACTTTCTTCCAACAAGCAATGCCAATACAAAGTGGGATGTTAACAAGTACATAGCATGTTTTCCTTAACCATCTATATATATATATAGAGTGCCGTATTCGGTGCACCCGCATTTTTTGGTGAATTCAATGCACTCTCCTCATAATCGTCATTCCGAACATGCGATTCATTTTAAAATGGTATCAATCGTCGCTTTAGATAATATAAACAAAAACACATGAGTTGCAAAAAACTCATTCAAGATTTACTTTACTTTGTTGAATTTAGGATTTAGAGATTTAGGGTTAGGGTTTAGATTTACAATTTAGGGTTTTGAGTTGAGATTCAAAATTAAAAAATTGATGTATTAAAGCCACTTTTAGAGTTGAGCGCATTGAATGCAAAAAAAGTGAGTGCATTTGGTGCCGAAAAAATGTTGACAACTTTGGTACCAAAAGTTACTCCGGCTGCTCCCCTTACGGCCTTACCCTCATCCACCTGACCGACCACCGACGGCTCCCTCACTTAATCAAGATTTTCATTTCCCACCAGTTTCATCCGGTGCCCAGCCATCAGAATTCAGAAATGATGGACATTACTCCTCCACCAACAACCAACAGAAGCCAAAACTCCAATTCCTATAAAATGGTTGTTGAACAGGGATCAACCACACTCCAAGACACCGAATTTAGCGAGGATACTGTAAAAGTCGGATGGCCAGGAGCTAAGAAGGGTTTGGCAGTCTCCGATCAGTTCCGCAGCCACATTTGCTCTCCTTGGAAACAAACAGTTGTGGTCAACCTACTGGGCAGAGGAATAACCCTTCCTCATCTATACGCAAAGCTCAACACACTATGGAAGCCTAGAGGTGAAATGCAGGTAGTGGATTTTGAACAGGTAGGGATACTTCATGGTGAAATTTTCCATTCCCGATCCCTTACTAACGGCCCTTGGATGCTTCTCGACCATTACCTTGTGGTACGCCGATGGACTCCGAGCTTCCGAATCACTGTAAAACTGCCTCCATCGCTTATTGTCTGGGTAATATTTCCAGCAATGCCAATTCAGTACTACCACACCCGAGTTCTCACGGAATCGGCAACATGCTCGGCAAACTCATCAAAATAGACTACAACACTCAGACAGCTCAACGCGGCAAATTCGCACGTCTTGCCATCCAACTCGACGTCTCTACGCCACTCATGTCAGGAACTTATAGGAAAGAATTAATTGAAGGCGTGATTAATCACTCTTCTTAGAGTGTTATTTGCCCTCACTACAAAATTGCTGGTAGGCTCGAGCAAACCATCTGCATGAGTTCCTTCAATTTTTAAGTCTGGAAGTAACAATCTTGCAGACTTCTGTGTTTATGAAATAGAGAAGGAGGCGGATTCTACAGTACCGGCGCGGCACTAGTGCCGCCAACCTTTTATCCATTGGATTTCCAGGGTTTAATGTGGACCTTAGAGAATAACCACCACTTAACCAGAGCAGGTTGAACCAGATTAAATTTATACTTTATTCTAATTAAATATATTTCATTGGATGTTCCTGGAAAAATCCTCCCCTGCCGAACAGTTTCTCAGAAAAACGAAGAGGACAGTTAGCGGCTCTTGATCGCCGGCGGAATGGGTAGGTGAACACAAGAAAAGGACCCAAAAAAGAAAGGGGGTGAGAAAGAGGAACGGAAGAGACGAGATCTTCCTGGTGATGCCCGAACAGCGGCACCGACGATGATGGTGGTGGGTGTTGGAAATAACCAGGCAGCGGGTACGGGGCTGTGACGATCGATCGTGCTTTCGATTGACGGAGATTCCGAATCTGAGCTGCCATGGTCGATAGGAGGCAACGCTGATGGTGTTGGATTGCCGCGACAGAGGTGATGCTGGCGGCGATAACAGGCGGCGAATGAGAATACCTGCCTCGAACAAGTAACACATACATAAAGGTATCTTTTTGATTTGAACCTTTACCTAGTGTAAGCAACTCAAAGTTGATAACGAATCAGTGACGGGTTTAAGCCTAGGAGTCATGATCCAAAGTTATAACCGGAGATGCCACACACGTACTTGTCTCTTCTCTAAACCACAACCACCAACAAGGGCAGCACTATTATGACCATGTGCTGATCTTGTTTCATGAGCATTCACAAAAGTTGACTTCTACTTTTGTTAGTGCGGCACCACTCTTAATGCTCACATAGGTGACATTCCAAATGAATTCATTAAGAGTTCTACAACTCATCTCAAGAGTTCTATAACTCACCCTTCTATAAGTCATTGTGACATGGGGGAGGATGACCGAAATTTGCCAGGGTAGAGTGACGACGTCCCGTAGCTTCATGCGCGGGAGATGCAGGTGGGCTGTCATGTGGACCAGACGAACTCGAAGAAGAGGAGGATGTGCTATCGGATGATGATGAGGATGACGTAGACGACGAGAAGGACCCGGATGTACTAGGCAAAGATTCTCCGTTAGTATTGATAGAGCTCTTGTTCGAGCTTGCAGTGGAACTGGACTGAGACGATGAAGATGCCTATGGTTCATGCGGGAGATGCACTGTTTCCAGAAGTGCAGCAAGAGGAAGTGAATTAAAAAAAATCAACATCAACAGGTGCCGAATCCTTTGATTCCCGATAATGCAAATTATTCTCCAAGAATACGACATGACACGATAACCTGATCCGATGAGAAACAACATCATAACACAGATACCCTTTCGATCGTTCACTGTAACCCACAAATACACATTTTTCCACTTTCGGATCTAACTTTGTGCGCTCCTTTTTCGGTAATAACACATAACATGTGCACCTGAAAACCTTTAACCAGTCATAGTCTGGATGCATTCCATAGAGGGCGAAGAACGACGACTTTTGTTCAAGAACCGAAGTCACCTGTCTATTTATCAAATAGACCACATAATGAACTGCTTCCACCCAGAAAGATGACAGAACTTGCGAGTGAATCAGAAGAGCTCTCGTGAGATCAAGAACATGGCGATGTTTCCTTTCTACCAATCCATTTTGCTGCGAAGTGCCCGGGCACGATTGTTGTGAGATAATGTCGTGTTCCTTGTAAAAATTCAGCAATGGATGTGAACTGAATTCACCGCCGGGATCTGAATGGATGATCTTAATGGTCTTGCCAAACTGAGTACGAATCAACTGGATAAACTCACGAGCAATAGTACACAACTCCGATTTCAGTTTTAGGAAGAACAACCACGCATATCTCTTCGCATGATCTATAAATACTGCGAAGTAACGATAACCCAACCTCGAAGTAACATGCGATGGACCCCAAAGATCTGTGTGAACCAAGTCAAAAGGCTCCGAATATACAGTGGAACTCGAACCAAAAGAGCTCTGTATTGTCTTCGCCTCAATACAGCTTATGCACGTATTCAAAGGAACAAAATCACGATTCAAAATACTAGGAAGTAATTTATTTCGAAACATAGTCTGCAAAGGCGAAGTATGTAGGGTGCCCCAAACGACAATGCCACAATTCCCAATCCAATGGAGAAACAGAATAAATATTCGAATCCAACAAGGAATTACTAGAACAATTAACAAAAGATCTATCAACTCCCATCTCAACAGGTCGAACTTCACTTCCATTTGCATTTCCATGTCTTGGCTCATGATCCAATGAATCCAGGATGAAAGTCCGGCCATTCCGTCGTCCATTACCCATTGTCTTCCCTGTTTTCCGATCCTGCACCATACACCCATCGGAATCAAACACTACCCGACAACCATTCTCTGCCAACCGTCCTACAGAAACAAGATTGGTAACAAGATCCGGAACAAACAAAATGTTATGAAGCTGAAGCCGCGACTGTTGTACAGTACCAATTGCCGCAACCGGAATGCGCGCACCATTGGCCACTTGAAGTTCAATAGTAGGACTAGGATGCATATTCGCAAATTTCTCACGCAAGCTAGACATATGATTGTAGGCAGCAGAGTCAAGATACCAATGAGAGGAAGTACCTGAAGCATTATGCGCAGCAAAGACAGTATGAAGAGCGGCGGTAAGGACCTTCTGCAAAGTAGATTCAACAAGCTGCCAAGAGTGATCTGATTCAATGCGGGTGGACCGGGAGCCACACCAAGAATCCAAGGAGTGTGCGGTGGAGGATCTAGTGGCGCAGACAACACCCTATACCCCAGAGGAGGAGGAGTAGGAACAACAGGACCGGCTGGAACACTATAAGCCGGAGCTGTGACGGGACGTGAACCAGCTGCTTTGCCACGTTTCGCCATCGCCGTACAGTCCAGAACAATGTGACCCGAGGTTTTGCAATAATTACAATAGTTTCTCTTCTTACAATAGATCTGAACATGTCCCTTTTCCTTGTAGTAGTGGCATTCAACATGAGGCGGTACATATTTTTGAAACTGATGCGATAACGACTAGCACGATATTAAATTCTCGTGGTCCAAAAAAGAAGAGTAAGGTTCGTCGATACAAGGATCAATTAGGGGCATTCTTGATGGATCAAATCATGCTCGTCGCTTCGCATAAAACATTTAAATGCATGGCTGGGATTTTATTATTACAATATTACATGGAACGAGTGTGGCGGCAGCTTGATTACCAAGAGAAAGAATGGGTCAAAGGCAAAGTTAGCTTGGACGTTTCTGGTTAGAGTGTTAAATTTGTCTTCATGAGTTTATTAAAGCAAGCAGGTGGGAGGATGGATGTATGGTTACGTGGAAGCTCTGGGAAATTCACTCACTTGAAGGATTAATTGGAAGGTAAAGGCAAAAGGAAGTTGGTGGGTAATTTAGTTTGTGGGTAAGGCCACGTGAAGGAGTTCCGCCGAGAAGAAGTCTCCGTAACCGCTACGGAAAAGGTGAAGGACGCGTCAGCTGTGGAATTTGGAGTTTTGTGATTTTGTTTGGTTATTTAGAGGATTAATTAGTAGTTGTAGTCCTTATTCAAGTAGTATTATGTTTACTAGTTAGTTTGGGATTTGTTTTCATATTCCTTTTAGGTTAGTTTTATGTCTTTGTGACCTCTATAAATAGAGGGTGTAAGACCTACGAATTTTGTACCCAACATTCAAGTTATCAATTAAGAGTTTTTACTCGTGTTCCTTTGTGAACGTTTGTGCAAGCTT